ATTGTTTTTAAGGATGTAAAAGCTTTTCTTTTTTATTTACTCACTTTGTTCTTTGTAAAAGAACTATTAAATGCAAGAAGTGGATTTATATAGACTTTTTATTCAATATCCCTATATTGAAAATTATTCTTTACATCATATTGTTGTATGGTTCATCCACAATCAATCACCAGTGAAATTAATGTGTATTGTATTCATTTGTTGCAAGAGGAGCAAAAGTTTCTTAGTAGTCAAATCCGTAGGGTTAAGTATATCCTTTGGCTATCAATATTGCTTTATGCCATTCCAATCTTTGATCTGCTCTATAAAAATAAAATAATCATTTGCGTCATAACATTTTTATTCCTTTTAGCAGTTCAACATTCTCAAATTATAACTAATTTATCAGAGATTGTTCAAATCATTGTTTTGAAGTTTTAATTATACCACAATATTATTTTTGGAAACCAGAATAATTTTCTAATTTTCCAAACATCCCACATTTTTTTACTTTATCTGGTGAAAATTTCTCGGAAAAATACCTTAATTGTTGACCTCTAACCGACGGCATATCCCCACGACTCGTACACCATCCCATGACCTCACGTAACCTCCCACTCTCGACAAAAAACCCCAGACATAGCAAAATCGAGGACAAGCTTTCAAACATTAGGGATTTTGAAACTTACAGAGAGAGGCGAACGAAGCATGGACTCCTTCGCAAATATCCCGCAGGGAAAGCCAACTCTAACTCCGACCTCCATTTTCGCTCGCACAGCCGACGCCAGCCTCTTTTATCATTGAATCGCCGGCCAGAAGTTCAGGCTGCCTTTTTGCCTCTCGATTCAACTCCAGCCACCTGCCTCTTACTCGTGCCAAAGCCGACTCCAACCGCACACAACTCAGTTGCCGGTCCTCCTATCTCAATCCGAGACCACACACGTCGAAATCGGCCTGTCGCCTCCACGCCGCTCGACTCTTGCTCTGGATTGACTCACCGCCGATGAAGTCGCAGTGCCCTAGCATCTCGCCGGCAACACATGTGCCCTAGCTGCCTCCACCGGCCAGATCCGACTCCAATCGCCTAATCCGCCGCTGACCCTGCTAAGCTCGCCATCAGCCTAACCTCCCGCGTCCTCTGACTCGTGGGTCCCCGGCTATATATATATATTGTATTAATTAAAATGAAAATAAAAAAGAGAAAAAAGAAGAAAGAGAAAAGAAAAAAAGTTATTTTCAAATAAACATCGCAAGGAGCAGTCAGAAGGCTCGAAGACCAATTTCGAGACCCGACAACGTCCCGATGCCTTCGGCCGTTGACCAACTTTCTGGTTGGGCGAACTGGAAAAGGCAAGTGCCCTCCCCTCGCGAGGAAGGGCGTTGGGAAGCTGCTGGATTTTTGATGAGACTAAAAATATTTTTAAAATAAAATTAGGTCATTTAATGAACAGGTCGCACACAACAAGTATCGTTAAAGACCAATTATGGGACCCTACAACGTCTCGAAGAACTCGGCCATTGACTATCTTTTCGGCTGGGCGGACTTGAAAGCACAATAAAATTATTTTTTAGGGGAATAAATTTTTTTTAAAATAAAATCAAGTCACTTAATTAGCAGGTCGCAATAACAAGGATCGTTGAAGACCAATTCGGGACCGACATCTCAAAGCCCTCAATCGTTGATTATCTTTACGGCTGGGTGGATTAAAGGAGCAAGTGCCCTCCTCAACCTCCCCTAGGCGCCTGAAGGTTACCGGATTTTCAAGGGGATAAAAACTACTTTTAAAATTAAATAAAAAAATTTAGTCAAACAGGTAATGCACAATAAGGAACTGGAAGACCTATTCCGGTACCAAATAACGTCCCGAAGCCCTCAACCGTTGACTATCTTTCCGGTTGGGCGGGTTTGAAAGGGCAAGTGCCCTCCCTATCTCCCTTTGTGGAGAGAGGACGCCAGAAGGTTGTCGAAATTTTGAACAAAATAAAGTACCTTCAACATCTTAATTTGAAACAAAATTAATCATTTTAAATGATTTAAAAATATATGATTAATTTACAATCATTTCAATAAATAAATAAAGGGGAGCCCCACCATTCTAATCTTAATATGGATGAATTGTATTAAGACTATTTGATCTTAAGAGGTGTTTGAAATCAAGATATAATCCTGAGATAAATGATAATAACAAATTACTTCTTGATAAAAACTTAATCAAGATCATAACGATATCTCCAATTTTTTAGGGAAATAAGATAAAGTGATTATTGAAGAGAGTTATTTGGAATGATTCATGCTGGCTATTCCTTGTTAATTGATGTATATGAAATGAAGCATGAATCAGCTATATGAATTGTTGAATTTATAAGACAATATACATATTATAAGCATCTTGAGACATGAGCCAAAGCCTCAGATATTATAGATAAACTAAAGAACATTTCTTCAACAATGATTTCATCTAAGAAGCGTTTCAAAAAAAGCAACATCTACATGTTTTCTTATTATCTCTAATTTGTGGTTGCCTCTTTCCATCATACCTAATAAATTATATTCAGATTTTTGATAAAGACAATAGGTAGAATGCTTGAAATCATGCTCGTAGTGCAGTGCCTTTAACTTGTTTTCCTATTAATAATGGAACACATGTTTAGTGATGTGTATGCTATCGAGGTGTTTTCATTTTCTATGCATCATTATTTTTTCTGAAGTTAAAGCTATTATCAACTCAATCCTCTTCTTAAAGCAACTCTGTGTTTGATTGCCAAATTCACCTATTGAAACTAAGCATCAAAGGAACCCTAGCCGTGTTAGGTGGGTTTGGTCCATATCTTGTAACATAAAGACAACAATCAATGTTGTGATGAGAAGGAGAAGAAGAACTTGTAATGAAAGCTTATTTGGAGACAATTTTTATATGTAAAGTGAAGAGATTTTCAGACTTAGTTCACAAGGGAAGGCAACAATGAGGCTAGTGGTGTGAGAAGTCTTAATCACATGTATACTTTCCTTGTTTTAGATTGTCATCTATAAGCCAAAGGACTAGTTCTCCAAAACACACATTCACATTTAAATATATTACATTTGCATATAGAGATTGTTGAAGAATAAGTGAAATGGAAAAATAGTATATTTAGCTTCAGCATATGGGCATTGACCTTGATCTAACTACATTCAATATGAATTGTCTTATCTCTTCCCGTAAAACCATAACAATTTATCTCCTACGATACAAATGTCATTAACGAGCATCTTGACATGGATATTATGCAATAACAATGCTACTTATACAAGAGTAACAAGCAAATGTCAAAATACATTGAGTGAATGCAATAAGAATATAAAACATAGTGTAATTGAAATGCAAATTACACTAAAATACAACCCCGCATGTGCTCTGATCGTCACATATGATCGCTAAATCTAACGGTTCGAGAATTCTGCGTGGGCCAAATATTCAAGTTTCATCCTCATGAAAGGACCAGAGCCGACCTGACTTGAATTATAAAATTCCTCTCAAATTCCTACAAAACTATAAGTGACTTTAACATCACCCCGACAAATCTAATAAAAGTTTAAATCCCTAAAATGAAATCTTTCATCTTAAAAATTTAAAACTAAAACTCATCCATCTCCTGCAACCATTTGTTGGGGGTGATAAATTTGAAATTAACCTCAACTCACAAAGAGCGAATGTCATGTCGGATGTATCATTAAGATTCATCCTCAAATAGTATCTTGTCAGCAGAGACGTGGCACATGCCCTCTGATCGAGTGGTTTTGTCACAAAATGACACCATTATATTACGATCACGGCCAAAGCCCGTATGTTTTCTAACCGGGTTAAACCCTCGAGTAATGAATCATAAGGTATATTCGATAAGCATTTAGCCTTCTGTTAGCTAAGGTGGATTCAGATCTATCCTCTTAGACAAAGACCAATCCAGGTCTACAAGGTATTTTTGGATGAAGCCTTCTGTCAGGTTGGGTTGACTACTTCTTCTGACTAAGTAGACCAAAGATCATGACAGCCCGGGACGACGAAACCATGAGATCTTGATCGGGCTTGTCTTCATTCCCCCATAACTAGTTTTAAGTTTATAGTGATAAATTTTAAATTTCAAACACTAAAATTCATATCCAAAATTCGAACCTTAAAAGTGTTGTTATTATACGATGGGTAATTAATCGAAAGTTCTCTCTTGTTATTGAGAAAGGTAATTAACTATAAGGGCTTGCGCTTATAGGAAACCATAACTCAAATCATAAAGTCCTCACAAAATGAGGACTAAATCTCTGGGCAGTGTCTTATCTAAAACCTAATCTACCTTGTGAAAATTCATCGGAACCTAAGCTCGTTAAAACTCTCCGCCGTTATCACAAACAAGAAAAGAGGACGGTGCAGAGAGGCCGGGGCACGTTAAATTTTCGGAGCCCACAATAATATTCAAAATTATTGTATCTATAACATAAAAAAACATGCAATATTTTTTTTTTTTTTTTTTGGGAATTGTCATTAGTTCCTTATTTAATATATTTTGCAAAAAATAGAAAAGTTGAAAAATATTACTTTGAATTTATTGCTTGATTTTGTGCAATATGTTGAAGTATTTTATAACAACTCCAAAATGCTTAACAACAAAAATAAATAAAAAATATTAATAAAAAAGAAAAAAGTACTTTAGACGGCTAGTGGTTAGAATAAAAAAAGGAGGCACATGAATTGTAATCTTAGGGTCATAAGAGTATCGATCTAATTGTTATAACCCTTAATCATATTGCCCAAAGGTTCCTATTAAGGTTGGTTGACTTGTGGGTCCCATGATCCTTCAATGTATATTTTTTTCTTGTAATGTAGTATGCAGATTGTTAGTTGATTTAGTTTGATATGGTGTTGTGCTTCTTGCTTATCCCTTACTTTATAGTGTGTATTATTGTATTATTGTATTAGTTTTGTATACTTTTCCTAGTTCCTTCATGCTCTCATATTTGGCCTATTGTTGTCCCTTGCCTATTTTTACAGGCAGGCTCGGAAGTCCATGTGCATTGGAAGGGAGCAGCTGAAATTGTCCTAGCTTCATGCACAAGCTGGTTGGATTCAAATGGTGTGCCACAGGAAATGACCCCAAATCAGGTTAACTGTTTTAATCTTCCTAGCTTACTTTTCTCAATTATCTCCTTATATTGTGGTTTGATTAGATTCTTAATTGTCACATTTAATCTTTTCATTCTTTCTGAGCAATTTTTTTTTGTGTTTATCAGATGGATGCTTTTAAAAAGTCTATTGAAGATATGGCGGAAGCTAGCCTTCGTTGTGTTGCTATAGCATATAGGTTGTATGAAATGGAATACGTACCCAAAGAAGAAGAGAGGGATAGTTGGGCATTACCTGAAAGTGATTTGATTCTGCTTGGTATTGTAGGGATAAAGGTCTGCAATATCTTAGCCATTTTTTGGTTTTAGGTTTAGAAGTTCCTTAATTCCTATATTTGCATGCTTGATGAAAGGACATTTGATATTCATTTTTGTCCATCTTGTAAAATATGCAAATGCAAGCATACTATACTCCTTGCGCTGTTTTTGCTTATAGATGTATGTTGTTTTCCCACCACTTTCTTATTCTTATTAAATACATTTCATAAAAATTGTAGGATCCTTGTAGACCTGGAGTTAGAGATGCTGTGGCTCTATGCACTGATGCTGGTGTCAAGGTAATAGGTTATCTTCTACATTCTTGGATTGCAAACTCCCATTTTTAAAGAATATGCTCAACGTTTAGCATGTTACTCTTTTTAAGCTTCCATTAATAGATTTTTCTAGTATTTTGATTGCCTGCAGTGATGCATTTTACTGTTAATTTGGCTGACCTTGAATAATATGTTGAGATTAATAACCTAAACTTTGATGTAGTGTACTTTCTTCTTACAGCAGGATTGAAAGAAAAAGAAAAAGGAAGAAACCTAGAAAAGAAAAACTTCTCCCAATTTTCTTCTTTGATGGTTTACTTAGAATAATAGGTTTGATGAGGAAAAATTCATTTCTTTAAATTCCAATGTGGGTTTTTGGCGTTGATTGGAAAAGGCTAAGAATCAAAATATTTTTTTATATGTGATTACTAAAGTTAACGTAATCTTCTAGAGGTGTGGAACTTGTTTTGTTTGTGATATTTTGATGAAGTAATTCTTTGTGCAAAGTACATAAGATTTCATGCCTTGCTATGATTTTAGTAGCCGACCCCACATAGTGGGATAAAAGATTCTTGTTGTTGTTGCTGTAGTTGTATGATTTTAGTAAAATATTTTTTTAGTGTATGTGCTGAGTAAATAAATGTTTTCAGTCCGAAGAAGTTTGCACTGACACAAGTTGTAAATGATACCTAAATCAGGTCCGCATGGTCACTGGAGATAATATTCAGACAGCCAAAGCCATTGCTTTTGAATGCGGAATCCTTCATTCAGATCAGGAAGCAACAGAGCCAACTATAATAGAAGGAAAAGTTTTCCGTGCTTATTCTGAGAAAACAAGAGAAGAAATTGCTGAAAAGATATCCGTAAGTTATATTAGGCAGCATCCCTTCGATTGGAAAAATTATTATGTCCGGACATTATACCGAGCATACCGAGTGTACCGAGCGTGGTACCGAGTGCAGTATCGAGCACGGTACCGAGCGCCCAAGTGATGTGGTGCTTTGTTATTGGTCTCTGGACACGTTCGGTGTCCGGACACAATAATTACTCCTTCGATTGTGATTTCTCTGTAGTCAAATATTTTATTTATTATGACTATATATATATATATATATATATATAATGTATGTTTGTGCGGGTGTTTTTTATTGGAAGCTAGGCACAATAATACAACATGAAAATGACACATTGCACGTTGGCAAGGAGACTCATAAAAATTATCATTATTTCAACCTGCACGTTTACAAATTACCTCTTGTATGTTATTTGGGGAAGGTAGTACTAAATTAAAAATTATATTTTCCAGGTAATGGGAAGATCTTCTCCCAACGACAAGCTATTACTTGTCCAAGCACTGAGGAAAAAGGGTCATGTGGTTGCCGTCACTGGAGATGGCACTAATGATGCTCCTGCGTTGCATGAGGTGGAGGCTAAATCTGTAAAGCCCTTAGGTTTTTTTTTTTCATTTCCGTCACTAGTGCGATTCTTATTCTCATTTGTTTTGGGTTTTAGGCAGATATTGGACTTGCAATGGGAATTCAGGGCACTGAGGTTGCAAAAGAAAGCTCAGACATTATTATTCTTGATGATAATTTTGCATCGGTTGTAAAGGTTAGATTGAGTTATGTATAATTAAATTAGTTAGATCTTTTATTCTTTTGTTGAACTGAATTTAGGAATAACATAAATTATAGGTTGTTCGATGGGGTCGATCAGTTTATGCAAATATTCAGAAATTTATCCAGTTCCAACTCACCGTAAATGTTGCAGCGCTTGTGATTAATGTGGTTTCAGCTGTTTCATCGGGTGAAGTTCCTCTGAATGCTGTTGAGGTGAGAACTTCAGAGAAGAGACCTCTTAAATTAATAATCTTTATAGAAGTGTGATTACTACATGATAAGAATGCGCAATTGAGTCCTCATGAAGTCACTTTGGGGAACCTTCTCTTATTTCACTTTTTGAGTTTTTATCTGCACGCTTTCCAATCTTTATGAAGATTTTCTTTCTACATGTCATCCATTCGTTGTGATAATTTTTAAGATTGCTAATTGTTATGACCTATGATATAGAATAAGATGCTTGGATACCAAATTGATTTAGAATATGACGCGTTGATAACAATTGATGCCGGATGAGATTTATATGATTCGATTTTGTTTAGAATATGAGATTCATTGAATAGTAGGAATCAACTTGGTTTCTAAATTTCCAACATTTATATCCATAAAAAGAAATCCAAGAGGTGACACAACAGTGGTCTATGTATTGCAACAATTAGTGTATTCAAGGCAGTTCTAGGATTGTATCAGTCAGCATTTTTCTATCAGCGGTTAACATTCCTCTAGGCTTTTAGGACTAATAATTCGTGCTTTGTTATCAGGCTCCCATTACTGTAACTTAAAACTATAGGAGAGGTTCCTGTGACTGCATCAAGCGTTTGAGAGAAAGGAGAAAGGAGAGAGGAGATAGAATAAGAGAGAGAATCTCTTCAAATGCAAATTTTAATTCAAGAATCCCAACATCCATTCAATCCCTATTTAAAGTAGCAGACTAGCAAGATAAGTCCAAATTAAATTTATACTTAAAATTTAGATAAGTCCTAAATCAAGTCAAATATAAAATAAATATGATCCTCACATCAAATAAAAATAAAATTGAAAAAAAAAATCCTAAATAATTCAAAATACTAGAATATTTTATAAATATTTTATAAATTATTTATATGTTTTTATACAGTCGTATTATGCATGACCTAGATGGGTTTTTATCTTTTAAATTTTTATGATCTATGTGAAGTTATGCATGATCTAAATGGGTCGTCAATATTTCCATAATCTATGGTTTAGTTTATTAACTAATGTTTGCATATCTAAGTAAATTCAGTGCCAATTATTCATTTTATGTTGTTTTCATTCTCTGATAACAGTTCCGTGTTAAATAGTTTCTAACATTTTTCTTAACTATCTAGCTTTTGTGGGTTAACCTGATCATGGATACACTTGGTGCACTTGCATTAGCCACTGAACCACCAACAGACCACCTTATGAAGAGACGCCCAGTTGGTCGGAGGTGAGTAACTTTCCAACTTGCTCAAATTCATTTGAATATGGTTGCGGAATTGTTGATTTTCTGTATTTACTCCAATTGAATTCATGTTTAACAAATCTTTGTATGCATTCTCCTTGGCATGTTTTTGATTTTCACATGCTTCCCTTCAGTAGGCACCAAATCTTTGGTGAGAAATATTAACCAATTTTCACAGTAGGAGCTCACTATTCGTTGATGTGCTTGTTTTTTAGCTAAATGTTAGGAACCATAGAGGAAAACTAACATCGGAGATGAATTCGTTTTAGTTACGTTGCATAAATCTCTGGCATAGTTTCCATGATGAATGGCGGCCCCAAACTCAGAACTGAAATGTTCCAAACATCCAGAATGGGATCTATGGTTTTAGTGGGGTAATTGACTACATTAAATGGTAATGGGTTGGACCTGATCTGATGAACTTGTATTTGTATTGTTTTCTCTCTTACAAGATTTAGTATATGCAGCAGAGTAATAAAATGATTTCCCATAGATGAACCTCATTAAATAAACCGTATGCATTCAATTGTCTCCTGCAATGTTTAGTAAATTTTCTATCATTTAAGCTTGATTATAGAACTTTGTTTAGATTCTTATTGAGAAAAATCATCAAAATGGTCTCCCTGGCCATTTTTAAAACACTACATTAGTCTCAAACTATATAAAAGTTCTAATTTAGCCCTCAAATTCATTAAAGAGGAACCAAAATGGTCTTATCATCCAAACTAAAGGAAATTGGAGTTAATAGTGTTAAAAATGAGATTTTTTTTTTTGAATATATTTTTTCTTATTGAATTTTTTTTATTAAATCTAATTTCATAAATCTTGACAATCTGTATAAACAAAAACAAAAATATATTACTAGTCATCATTGCACCGGAAGCTTTGCCCTCCCCTATTCATCGCTACTAGGGAGGAATCTTCTCTTATCTTCGGCGCTTCTAGGGGGCTTCTCCGTCCACTCTTCTGTCTCTTTTGGTTAGGGAAGCTTTGTCGAGCACAGGGACCGTTGTGATAATCTCATGCATGCAGCCATCCAAGAGATGGTTTTGCTGCTCGTCACTTTTATGGCTCTACACCATAGTCCCGCTCATTATTTGTTCGGGGAAGCTATGCTTGCAACTTGTCTTGAATTCGCTTCGCTATCTCATGCTAGTATAAGTGTAATTTAAAAAAAAAAAATCCCAAAATAACTTGAAGAGTTATGCATGCTTTGTGAGTTCATTGTTTGTTGGGGGCAAGCTATGCTTGCTACTTGTCTTGTCCTCACTTCAATATCTCATGCTAGTGTAATTTTAAAGAAATTCTTAAAATAACCTAAGAATTATGCATGTTCTGTGAGTTTTCCATTGATCCAAAAGTTTTTTTTATTAATTTTAACGTCCAATATGAACGGCGAGATTATTTTGGTGCATACTAAAAGAGTTTAGGAACTAAATTTGGACATTTATATAGTTTGGAACTATTTTGGGTATTCATAAGTAGTTGGAGAACTATTTTGATCTTTTTTCCATTTATTTATTTTCCCTCCCAATCATCAATTTGTGTTAAAATCATTTTAGGATGCCAAAGCTGCATGTTATCTATTCATCATTAGCTCACATTTTGAGATGCCATTGAAGTTCTCATTGATTATATTATTTTCTTAAATGTTTATTTTCTTTCTTGTAGGGATCCCCTTGTTACTAATATCATGTGGAGAAACCTCATTGTACAGGTATGGCATCATCTTAATTCTAACATTTTGTTGCACTTGTTCATACTCATTTTCATTAGAGAGATTTACATATACTTGTTATTAATTATTATGTATTTATATATCTAACAACAATTTTTTTTATTTAGATATATAATAATTGAGTCTTGGTTTATGATTTTTGTTGATGATATTCAGCTTGTTGATAAGACTAGAGATAAATTGAATGTAAATTTGAATTATGGAGGTCAACTTTAGAGTCTAAAGGTTTTTACTTGAGTAGATCTAAAATTGAATATATGGAGTGTAATTTTAGTAGCAATAAACCTAGTGAGGGGATTGTGGTTTTGGGCGATCAAGTCATTAATAAGAGTACACGTTTTAGATATTCTGGATCATTGTTTAGAGTGATGGTTAAATAGTGGGGATATTATCAGCAGACTTCAAGTGGATGTTAAGTGGAGGAATGTATCAGGCTTGTTGTGTGATAGAAAAGTCCCCCTCAACACTTAAGGGAAAATTCTATAAGATGGTGGTGAGACCTGCAATGCTTTATGGTGCCAAATGTTGGCTATTAAAAGAGAAGCATAAAACTAAGTTAATGTTGCAGAAATGAGAATGCTCAGGTGGATGAGTGGCTTACCCTTAGAGATAGGATACGAAATGAAGCATATACGTGAAAGATTGGAGTAGCTCCAGTGGAAGATAAGATTAGAGAGAGTCTCCTTAGATGGTTTGGTTACATTAAACGAAAGCCTTCAGATGATTTGGTTAGGGAAGTTGATGTATTAGATTTGTCTTATGTTAAGAAAGGTAGAGGTAGACCTAAAAAGACTTGGTTCTTTATTAGATTTAAATGAGAATTTGACTCTTAACATGACACAATGGCGAAAAAGAATTCATGTAGTCAACCCCACGTATTGGGACAAAGGTTTGATGTTGATTGTTGTTGTATATAATAATCGAATCTCTATGATAAAAATTACTAATGTCTATCTTTTTAAATTATATATATAATATATATATATATATATATTTTATAATAATATAATTTGATATATATATTGATGGTATTTAGATGCTAGAATGTTATATTATAATTATAAAAATTTAGATATTTGGTATATAAATATATAATAACATAATATGTATGTAAATATTCCTTTTTATTTATTTATTGATACTTTCATTTACTCTGATTATCTGCAACTATAGGCTCTTTACCAAGTGACGATACTCGTAATCCTTAATTTTGGTGGAAAAAGTCTTCTTCATTTGAACAATGAGACACGACAGCATGCTGATAAAGTAAAAAATACCTTCATCTTTAACACATTCGTCTTTTGTCAGGTAAATACTGCACCTGAAAAGAAACTTGTGTTGTAAAATGAATTATCTGAACCTTTTTATTTTTTTAATATTTTCTTAATTGAATTATCCAACCATTCTTTCCCCCGTCACAAATTGAAGGTTTCTTATTTTTGCTTTTTCCAATATTCTAGAATAATGTAAATTTGCTTATATTCAGCTATTCAATGAGTTCAATGCTCGGAAACCTGATGAGATGAATGTCTTCAAGGGAGTTACAAAGAACCACCTTTTCATGGGAATAGTAGGGATAACGCTAGTGCTTCAGGTAATGAACAGTTTTAAATTGAATGATAATTTGATTAAGATATCACCTCCTCTGGATTGCAGTATAAATATATTATTTCTGCAGATTTTAATCATTGAATTTCTGGGGAAGTTCTTTTCAACTGTTAGACTCAACTGGCAGCTGTGGTTGGTTTCCATTGGAATTGCATTGTTGAGGTATGTTCTTGGGTGGTAATGTGCCCGACTGTCTGCAAAAATAGATTTATTTTAAAATTGTGGATGTTATAGACTTTTTCACTTTCTTATATTAATCATATTTTATTAGATCTCATTATAAAATGTAATTTCTCTTCATAAAGATTTCTGAAAATCAATAAGAAAGTTGTAGCTAATTAGGATTGTGGTGATTGTTCGGAAAATAAAGTTAGGCATTCTAGATTTCTTTTTGATCAAATAAATTAAAAAAAAAAAAATGTTCTCTCCTCCTAAACTGTATTCTTGATCTTTCAATTTGCCTTTATCCTTTTAGTTGGCCACTTGCTGTTGCTGGAAAGCTCATTCCAGTTCCTAAAACCCCTCTTGGGGAGTATTGCCGGCGATGTCTTAGGAAACCAAGAATAGAACGCCAAGGTGATTTAGGGTAAACTTTATTATAGTCTACTCCGTTCTTCTTTTTGCCATATGATTAAGGAATTTTTTTCTGCCTTGCAGGTGATGGATCTCGTCGGTCGTCGAGGTCTTAGTAGTAGAAATCTAACTTGGTTTTAATGCGTCAAAACTAAGTATTTTACTAATCTACGGAGCCTTGTTCCTGTAATTACAAAATGTGCTGACGTCTTATTTTGTTTCAGCTATCTAGATTTCATGAATATATATATTTTGTATATTCCGCTTGTCAAGCTTGATGATCTATATTTCAATTTCTAGGATATTATTTTTTCTAATATCTACTAACCTGCTAAACTGTTGGCAAATATGTTTGGCCATATACTATACATGTTGCTTATTATTATTTTATTTTAATAACTTGCATTTTTTTAGGTTCTATTTTTTTTAGATATTCTTGTGATTACTATTATTACGACACTTTGATGTGTTGCACGAGGATTGAGAAAATTTATTGTTGTAATTTATCAGTTTTTAGTACTTTTGTTAACAATTGAGTTAACCAACACAAATAGTATGTTCGTTAACGTAAATAAAACTTTCCAGATTCACACGTGATTTAGTAATGATGATTGAAAGATAAAATCATAAATAATTTATAAACCGTTGTATTCAAGGAAAGCTTCTAAACAACTCCTATGATTTCTCCCTTTTTTCTAATGAGATTTGAATTTGTTTAATATGATTTCAGCCTTGATGTGGGTGTGCTTGCATATTTCGGTGTGTGGGAGCTCGTATGATGTCATCTCTATTTTCTTTGTGGTATTTAATTTCAAAAGCCTTAGTATTTGTACATTAAATTTCATAAGCATGTTATGCATGGGTGGTAGAAAACTAGGCAACATTGTTAGATCAATTAATACTTACGTGGTTGGCACGTTACGAAACGAAATTTCATGAAACCGCTTTGATGTCCTAAATCTAGTTACTGAAATTTTGGCTCTATGTGGTATTTGAACAAGCGTTTGATATGGGGATTGAGATTAAGATTGGCTTTCTCTTATAAGATTGGAGTTGGTTGAGGGTGGAATCCCTTGGACTTTTCAAGTTGTCAACTAAAATCTTTTTCTCTAGAACAAACAATTGATGAAGTTTGTCTATGGATTTCTTTTGAAATGGTTGTATTATTTCATAAAGTTGGTTTTAAATTTATTGGGGATGAGTTAGTTTTTTTTTGTGGTTTGTGGAAAATAACTTTTATCATAAATTTTATTAAAAATTAAAAAGAAAGTAGTAGTTAAATAAAATTATGATTACTATTTGAAAAACATAAAAAAAATATAAATTTGTCCTAATTATGAGTACAAATTAGATCTTAAATATTCATTCTTCTGGATAAAATTTTTAAATTCATTTTTTTCTGTTAGGATCTTTAAGGTTCAATGCTTAAATGTCATAGATGTTCATTTTTCAGAAGTTGAATTTTTCTTTCAAGGTGCCACCATGGTAGCAGCAGCTCCAACAACCTTTTCTTTGCCTCTTTGGTATGCGGGCTCATGTGTACGGCATGCAGGCTATTCAATATATTGAAGTTGCCTGATATACGCACCTTGAGTCGTATGTGATGAAAAAAGCCTGCTTGATATGACCTTGAGTTGGCACATCAATAGCCCTAGCATCAGTCAAACCACCGAATTAAATATTGATTCCATTTTTTCAGTGTTGATAATACTATTGATCAAGTGGACGTTCGGCCGAGGATCTAGCTATTTTGTGAAACACGTGCTTTTTGGAAGCTATGACAATATTTTATCACCAAAAGTTTTTTGCAACTCCTAATATTGTAGCAAGTTTAACTTGTTATTATTCCTTTCTTAAATATGACCGTCTGTATCTCCAACGGAATTATTATTAATATGAGTTCAAAAAATTCATATCTAGCTATTTTGAGAGTTTTAATTTGGGGTCAAATTCTTATAAGATGGATTGAATTACAAATTCATATCTAGCGCTCTCTCTCTCCCCTCCCTTGCTACTCTCTCTCTCTCTCTCTCTCTCTCTCTCTCTCTCATTGTTGACCTGTACCTGTAATCCACACATACCACGCTCCCGACTGGCTCTCGCTCCCCACAATCCCTCACGACACAAAACAACGAAACCTCTCCCATTTTCATTGGTGCACACATGAACTCAGGAATGGAGGAGAGTACGAAACATGCCTCTCTATTTCACGATCAAAGCTAACTCTAATGTCTTGAACCCGTCAAAGCCCACCAACTTCGCCTTCAACCGCCGACGTCTAACCTCGCCTGCTCTTTTTCGGATGAGCCTTAATAAGTCATTGAGCTAAACTCCTTCCAATCCATATCGAGCAAGTCGACAGTATTCTCTGAATCCCTTAACAGCCCGACCTCCTACTCTAGCCCAACCTCCTCTGCCTGTTGCACTGCCAGTACCCGACCCTGACCTCCAGCCACCTGCGCCTCCGACCCGTGCGTGGCTCCGCCTCCTTCTCTGAACCCTAGCCCATCGAGTTGATAATATATAAAAAGTCAAAACGCTTGATCCTTTTCCCCATACTTTGAGATGCTCGTCCTCGTCGATCAATCAGCGAAAATTGCAAAGCTTGCACAGAAGGCAAACCCAGACCCCCATAAGTTTTAGGCTTGCAAACCTCTTCCCAAGACAACATGTGTAATTTCTTCCCAACTTCAAGATCTCCAAAGAAAAGAAATTTGGAGCTAATTTTTTTAAAGTATTTAATGACAGCTTTTGGTATAATAGCCCCTCTTATCCAATATGCAATGGAGTTAACAATTGTAAATTTGAGAAATTGCAATCTCCCCGCAAAAGAAAGAAGATTAGCAAACCAGCCAGACAACTTTTTAGTGGCTTTTTCCATAAGAGGCAGAAAATCAGAAATCCTAAGTCTATTAAAAGACAAAGGAATCCCCAAATAAGTGATAAGGTGAGTGATGTTATATATGTTTAAAGCTTGACAGATATCCTCAGAATTGGACATATTTCTAGGCAGAAGAATAGAGCTCTTCTCCAAATTAACTTTAAGACCAGAAGTATCAGCAAAAACATTAAGAATGTTAGCTAATTTGATGCAGTTCTCTACAGTTGCTTCCCCAAAAACAAGGACGTCATCAGCATATAAAAGATGTGAAAGAGCAAAACCATCCACATTAATACCTCTAAAATCACCATCATCTAATAAATTTGAGAGAGCATCCATCACTATGCAGAAAAGATAGGGACTTAGAGGACAGCCTTGTCTTAAGCCCGCCGTAGTATTGAAATATCCTTCTAAAGCACCATTAATAACAAGAGAGAAATTCACATTGTTGATGCAAGCTTTGATCCAATCAACATATCTAGAAGGAAAGCCTTTTTGAATCATTCTTTTTAATAAGAATTCTCTAGAAACAGTATCAAAAGCTTTCCTTATATCAAGTTTAGCGCATAAATATTTTATCCCTCTAACATTTCGAGTGTAAGCAAGCAATTCTTTAGCCAAAAGAATATTGTCCGTAGAAACTCTAGCTTTTATGAAACCCGATTGGTTGCATCTGATAATCAAAGGCATAAAATTCTTGATTCTAAGAGCAAGAACTTTAGCAATAATTTTATATATAGTATTACATAAAGCAATTGGTCTGAAGTCAGCTAGAGAAGAAGCATTAGAGTGCTTAGGGATCAGAGCTAAGGCAGTGGCTTTGACACCGTTAGGAAGATATCCTTTGATAAAAAAAGCCCTGACAGCATTACACACCATAGGACCAATAATATGCCAAGCAGTTTTATAGAAGTGAAAATTGAAGCCATCTGGACCGGGTGAGGAAGAAGAAGACCCCAAAAACACAGCTTTTTTAATTTCATCATCTGCAACAGGATTAGTAATAATGTTGCAGAAAGAAGCAGGAAATTCTGATCCAATGGGGAATAAATGCACATCCGACAGAGGAGGAGGGATAGGATTGTAAATAGTTTGAAAATGTTGAATGATAGCATTAATCACCTCAGTCTTGTCAGTATTAGGGAAAGTAGAAAATAGGTTAACCACAGCTTTACCTGAACATTGCCTACTTTTAATCCTGGAATAAAGAAATTTCAAGTCTTCCTCACCGTGCTTCAACCATTTCACTTTAGCCCTTTGAATGGTCCAAGAAGTGAGAAGCTTAGTAAAATTCTGAATATTACTATTAATGCCTTTAAGAGTAGAATTAAGCATGTAATCAGTAGGGCAATGTTGAATCTGAGCCAAGCATTCCTTTTGTTTAGAGTGAAGATTGTCCAGATGAGCCTTAACCAAAGAAGAGTGAGCCCAAGACTCACACTTGATATCACTTTTGAGTTGCTTAAGAGTTTTACAAAGAAAAGACAACGGATTACCAGTATTGGGACTAGAGATAACATTAAGAAGCAAGTCCCAGTAATTATTCACATCAGTCCAGTAATTTTTGAAAAGGAATCTGTGCTTGAAAGTAGAAGGAGGTAAACCCGAGTGCACAATAAGAGGGCAGTGATCCGAACAAGACGGACTTTGAGTGGAGCAAAAAGATGATGAGTACTTATTCAGCCAAGCATCGTTGATAAGTACCCTATCTAATTTGATGTGAATAGGATTCACTGATTGCTGATTGAACCATGTATAAAGACTGCCCACTGAATGCATATCCTGAAGCTTGTTTTCAAAAATCATAGAGTTAAGATCCACAAGTTGCCGCATATTTAAGGGAGTTCCCCCCGACTTTTCAGAAGAAAACCTACAACAATTGAAGTCTCCCAGAAGAATCCAAGGCATATCCCGATTAGGAGCAAAATGACTGATACTAGACCAAAGCTCTTTCCTTTCTTCAAAGCTATTAGAAGCATAGATCACCATAAGGTGATAAGGAGCTGTATTATTAGAATTGACAATACCAGAAATCATATAAGGAGTAATATGAAGAGGAGAAAAATTGATATTGCAACTGTTCCATTTAATCCAGATTCTCCCAGAAGAAGTAACATCAAAGTTGTGGCAACTATTTTCAAAAGGGAAAATAGAATGAGATTTTTTGAAAAAAGGATTATGAAGAGAAGCTTCATGAATTCTAGTTTCTAGAATACAAAGCAAATCCAGATTAAACTCCGAAGCCAAACGTTTACAACAGAGGACTTTGTCGGCGCTATTGAAACCTCTAACGTTCCAAGTAGCAATAGTAGGTAAGACCATTAATAAGCAGAGGAGGTGGAGGATTTTTTGGATTGCTTCCCCCTAGCAGTTTTCTTGTTGACAACATTCAGATTATATTTCGGTTCAGATGTGTGAGCTATGGCTTTTTTCTCTAATTTAGCAGCAATATCAGTATTAACCGAAGTACCCAAGTCATCAAGTTTACTCCCCAGGGAATCTAATACATCAAATCTGTTTGGGGAAATGACTCCAGCAGGTGAAGAGCAAATATCGGGATTTAATTGAGAGGCACTCACAGAAGATGAAGAGTCTTTAACATTTGGAGAATTAAGATTAGGAACCGAAATTAAACCTGTTCCGGATTTCTCAAGTACTAGAGAAGGAACAGAGGTTTCGGGAATAGGAACATTTTCTGTCTGAGGCTGCGGAGGAGGGGAATGTGGTTGATAGCTCAACGGTAACCCGATGGCATTTTTCCCTTTGACAATAGTATTATTGTCAACAGTCTGTATCTGTTGCGTTGAAGAAGAAGATTTTCCAGAGGGCTTTGAAGTATCAACAGCAGAGGAAGGAAAACGACCCTGCGATTTAGATTGATGACGATGCCTAGCAAGGCGACTACTACTTCTACCTCTTACGTTTTGATTTTTCGTTTGGTCATCTAGCATTTTATCTGATTCTTCTACTTTTGGCCTAGAAGGGCAAAAATTAGAGTAGTGAACTAGAGACTTACAGTGCTCGCATAGAGTTGGCTTCCATTCATATTGAACCTTTAGTCCCACGACATCTCCATCGAGAGATACCTGGATTTCTTCTTGATAGATGGCTTGATTGTCGACCAGCACGCAGACTCTTGCATAAGTCAGGCGAGTCATTTGAGAAGTAAGAGAGTCAGCAGCCAACGGGACCCCTACCTTGCTAGCAATCCTAGAGATTCCTTCCGAGTTCCAGCAAGCTAACGGTAAGTCATGGATTTTTATCCAGATCGGAACTGTCTTGAAATCCTCTCTTTTAGGCTTAAATTTGGGATGCCACTTTTGTAAAACAAAAGGTTTCCCAAGGAGGAACCAGACTCCCCTTGACCAGACCGATTCCATGTCTTCAAAACATGAAAAACGAAAGAGGAAGAAGCCATCATTTAACGATATCATTTTAACCGAACCTTTCAAAGCCCAAGTTTTGTTGATGGCTGCTAGCAACGCTTCATAATAAGGCCTTCTACCGATAGAGTACCCTACTAAACATAGCTTCCATTTTTCAGCTCCAGTCGTCAACTTGTCTACAGAGAAAGGCACAATCTCTGGCTCGAGAGGAAAATGAGAAAGATGTAGCTCAGATTCAGAAGCCACATTAACTGCGCATGCAGCTAACCAGTTGCGAGTCGGAGGCGTAGAGGCACGTCCAGACTCAGAAACTGGAGGAAAATCTGAGGAGGGAAAGGATGAGCCCATAGCAACAGGAACCAGAATAACGAAAGGAAGGTGGCCCTCCGGCAGAGCCGGAGGAGGAGGAGAAAGTGAGGCGGCGCAAAATGGCTGAGCGGATGGCAGAAGGAAACCCTAGCGCATAACCCTCGAGCCGTGACCGGCAATTTTCCTTTCCTTCGTGATTTCTGAATTTCGCTTTGAATTTCTCTTTTAGGAAAAATCATGCAATGGGTTTTTTTTTTTTTTTTTTTTTTTTTTTTTGAAATTAAATCATGGAATGGTTTAGAATGGTTATATATAATTCGGTTAAAAAAATTTTAAATTGAAAAAGGCTAGTTTAAATGGATTAAGATTTTATTTGGAATTACTTCCTAAAATAATTTATTGATTTTTAATATAAATTTTAAATGAATTTACGTTTTACTCTGGAAAAAAAAAATATTTTAAAATCATGCAATGGGTTTTTTTTTTTTTTTGAAATTAAATCATGGAATGGTTTAGAATGGTTATATATAATTCGGTTAAAAAAATTTTAAATTGAAAAAGGCTAGTTTAAATGGATTAAGATTTTATTTGGAATTACTTTCTAAAATAATTTATTGATTTTTAAAGTAATTTTTAAATGAATTTACGTTTTACTCTGGAAAAAAAATATTTTATTGATTTCTAAATTAATTTCTTAGTATAAAATTTAAAAATTTTGGAATACCAATTGAGCATTTACACCAACATTTTTGGTTTGGTCCATAAACCCTGTATTAAAATAAACAATAAGTACATTGAGCAAGTAAAATTTATTTTCTTAAACATAAAATTTAATGGGTTTTATCATATGGAAAAGGTTTTTTTTACACTTGAAAATTATTTTTTGGAAGAATTTAATAACCAAACAAAAATTATAGTATTAAAAATAAGACAGAAAATTATTCCAAAACTTTAATTAATAAATCATAACTGATAAGAAAATTGATTTTGTAGATATTAAAATTATCATTTATTTATTTGAGAATTTCCAATTTAAAATTAATTGACTGGACGAATAGAAGTTCCTTCATGTGGATGATGAAATTTATGTCATACAAAGCCTTTGATTGAGGTATTTGTTAGCTTATTAATAAATAATGTCATAAATTATTACACAATAAGAGTATATATTATGAGAAAAATTTCATTGGCTCTCCTTCATTCATTTTCTTTCCTTATTGGTTATTGTACTCATAGTATACGCTATATGCATGTACCATTACTGAAAAAATGAGCACAAATCAAGCTATAAAATTAGAAAATAAACAAAAAATACTCAAATCTTGCAAGCTTAAAATGAATTCAATGCCAGAAACTATATTGTGATCAACATAAATCACTGAAACAAATTTTGACTTAGAATCATAGAGAGAGATTACAAGAACAATAGAACTCTACCAAACCAACACCATCGCAAAGGCCGCGTTGTCAAACCGCTATCCATCCTCCAATTGGTTCGTTGCACTTCCTTCGTTGTTAAAGGATCATTATCAATCACCACTACAAATCACCACCCCGTTATCACTGCAATTAAAATACCATTATTAAACCGCCACCGACATCTTCGATTGGATCACCACCACCCCACCACTGGTATTAGATAACCAATACCTAACCTCGGCATCAAACTTTCACCTCCCACCCTCCACCTAATATACCATCATAACATGATCACTATCACTTGCTTACAATCTACTAACAACCATCACACGATTGTGATCTCTAAATCCACGTAGTTCAACTGTTAGCGGCCAATCACCATCATTAGACCACCATCACACATCAACATCACCATGCTATAAAGTATTAAGCATTATTACATGATTATAATGTCCTGACCACCATTGCCAAGTTATATAATCTCACAACTACAATCTCTAAAACATAATTGCCTAACGAAGAAGTCTCACCCACTAAATTCCAACAGCCATCACCCCGCCAATCTCTAACCTATATTCACCTCACAAGAATGTCATGACCATCGTTGCTCAACTAAAATGTCCCAACAACTAGCACATTACATCCTAATCAAGCACAAACCAGCTTTACTAAAATACACACGTACTCCAAAATCACAATCACCCAACTCCAATCTATCAACCATATTTGTTTTATTAGGATCTCTCAACCATCATTATTAAACTACCATGAACTAACTATAATCTTTTAACCATTGTTGCCCAAATACAATATCAAATCCAATGATAATTCAATTGAAAAAAAAAACAATTGTTCTATGTCATCAACAATAATCTAAATACAATTCTACACTGAAATCACCAAAATTTACATAAAAATCAACTATGACCACATAACCACTACCATTCAATTAAAGTCTACCAACAATTATCAATAAATTATAATATCTAAAAATTATAATTTGAATAAAACCTTGCAAACACTATCAACACCAACAATAACATCCATCAACTTCATTAGCCCACACTGCTAAAACTAATGTGAACCACAAACCAATCTCAATGCCCAAAAACAAAACTAAAATTTATATCAAATTAATTTTGAATCCAACTCAAAATAGAATGATAGAAGTCAATGTAAATAATCTCCTAAAAACTTGAAAGGCTTCAGATTAAGCTATACTTAAAAAATAGAAGATAAAAGTCAATATAAATAATCTCCTTAAAAAACTTCAAAAGCCTCAAATTCTATTGATCATCTATCAGTAATAATAATGGATTTCTTGCTCAAAAAGGCTTCATATTGAAGCATATACTACAATAATAGACAGCAAACTGGTGATTGAAGATTAAAAAAAAGCAAAATAAATCACAATAGAGCCTCAGAGATCTTGGTGGTTATGTTCATCAGATGGTTGACACCATCAAGAGTAGCAAATATAATGATCACATCACTGGCTCATCATAGTCCGACATAACCCCAAACAAAAAACTAAAAAAAAAAAGAAGAAAGATCAACAATGGAGGCATAATGTGTCAGAAGTAGCTGGTTAAGATATCATTTTATAGAAATCAATGGGAATCCGTCTGATTTGTTTCATCATCCAGCACCATGCCAAAACCAGCAAAAAATAAGTCATCAAAACGTCTAATAAACGAAGAAGTAAATTTCTTTGCAGGATATACCTGCCTTGTCACCGAAAAATCCTACTAAGCACAGAGGATAATCAGAGCTAAAGGCAGGAAATCCTTATCGCCTAACGATAGATTGCTTGCTGCATTTCATATCGAAACAGCACGCAATTGCAATATTAGGCCGTTTCACAACGTACATAGAAGAAGCCTTAGATCTCAACAAATTGCTGTAAAAACAGTTAATTTATAAATGAAAAGCCGGATCGCAGATGCCAATGAGGTCGGTTTTAAAATGCATCGAACTCACCTGCGACCACGCAATTGAGTATTTAAGACGCGAAACCCTAACTAAAGGCGGCAGCCAGGAAGAAGAAGAACCCTAACTAAAGGCGGCTGCGGCTTCCAGGAAGAAGAAGAACCCTATCAACTGATTCACTTAGTTCTAACTTTATAGAGGCGGAAGAATCATTAAAAGGTGGGCTATATAAGTTCTCTAATCATTATTGAGCCCAACAAATGGGTAGCCCAATTAGCATGGCCCATTAAAGCCTCGATCCACAAACTAATTAGTTTTTTTTTTTTTTTTTCAAGTTATTGATACATTACAATAACGTATTCAAATAATAAATATGTCAATCTAAAAAAAAACTACATCAAACAAAGCATTAATTTTTACATCAATATAATAAAATAATAAAATGATAACATTAATTTATTTATTATTTTTTAAAGGGAAGTGAGCCATTATATTAAAAGAAAAAAGAAATATTTTGAGTGTGCCAAATTGACCCTAGACAATGACATTCCTCATTATATTAGTTTGAATTATATTTATTAGAGTGAACATTGTTCTATTTTTAAGCTCTTAAAAATGTCAAATTTTTAATTATTCTATATAAATTCCTATGGTATTATTAATAACACAAAAGAATTGTTCTTTTTTAAGTGAGCTCCTTAAGCTCCATGTTTCTAGAATATTCTAGAAAATAGAAGAAGATATTTTTAATTTTACTGCGGCGGTCTTGTATTGAAGATGGAGCGATGACAATTGCCATGTTGAAATTAATTTAAATCATTGAAATTAAAGGAAGAAGAAGATAAATATAGTCATAAAAATATATTTTTTTTTCTATAGATTCACTTAATTGGTGATTATATTTCATTATCACTATGCAAATTTCACTCTAATATTGATTACGTAGTTTTTGTAGTACTATTTTCTAGCAAAAAAATATTATTGATACATCCTCAAAAAATTATCTTGATCAGGCATGAATGTTGAGGCAAAATCAAGTTGGTAACTTCAAAAATTAAAATTATGACCATCCAAACTCTGATATATGTAAACTTACAGTTGAACTGAGCATCTCAGAAACACGAACCCAACGACACCAAAATAGACCCAATCCGAGCCCAAATGAGTCCAAATAAAAGACTCGAATCACTTTTGGAAGGATCGAACCACAATTTGTGTTACCAAACAGTCTCCAATCGTGACATGCTTATAGTCGAATCGAGCGGCTCGACGAGATGAATCCAACGAGCCCAAGATCATCAAATTATGATATCATTAAGACAATCAAAAGTCCATTGAACGGTGCATGATCGTATTTATCAAGATCGGCTATTATCCAAAATACTCTCAATTTACCCTTGATCTTTCACTTATTTGCAAGCCATGTTACTCAGGAATTCTATAAATAGAACATATTTCCTCTTGAAAAGTAGAGGAAGCCAAGAGAGAAGAAGGAAGAAATCTTCAGCCGCCTAGATCCTCTTCGACCACCGCCAGAGTTCTGCTGCACCACCGCCAGAGTTCTGTCGCACCACCGCCGGACTACCAGGGGACACCATAGTTCTGTCAAATTGCCACCAGTCCATCAAAGGACGTCGAAGTGCCACCCAAAGCCGAAGTGCCCACTAACACTGAAGTGCTCCTGCCGGCCCACCGCCTGACACCGGAGTGCTATCGAACCACCACCTGACATTGGAGTGACACTAGACTTTCGCAAAACTTTCAATTGACATTTGTAATATGGTCGTCTTGAAGGACGAGTCAGACCATTGTACTTTGCTCGAATTCTAATTGAATCATTTTCACCTCAGCTAGCCTAGTGGTTTTTTCCCTTTCTCGGGTTTTCTACATAAAAAATATTATGTTCTCTGTATGTGAGCTGGATATTCGTATAATGCTAAGACGTAGAATTCTAACTCTATCGCCGTGTATATTATAGCCCGCAACAATTATGAAATCGAAAACATGCTCAAGCAAATGAGTCATAATTATTGGACACACAAAAAAAAAAAAACTCAACCCAGGTCTAAATTTGCGGTAGACATATACAATTAAGCTCCATAACTTATCACATTCATCGACATCAATAATCATCAATGATGAGAATCAATATAAAGAAACTAGTGACGATAAATATCGAAGTCAATCAATGTGCAACAACAATGATCGACTTCAATCAATATTGATAGAAGACACCAACATCAAAATGTGTTGAAAGGTGATCGATGCGATTATCAACCCAACTATAGTTAGGAGTTGTTAATAGGAAATACGTATAAGCATGGACATAAGGAATCTTATTTTAAATGATAATCGTTGTTATAGAATTCCTTAAGTTCATGAATTTTTTTGTCTAAAGTCCTAATTATAGATGTAAGAAGGGGAGAGGGAAGAACTCTGGTCTTTTTTGAAGGTCCAGAAAAATTCAGGATTGATAATTTTCTGATTTTCTAGCATTTTAATATTTTGATGAACTTAAGATTGAGCGATCAAACAATCATTTTTTCAAGGCTCTTGGTCTAGCCATGAGCTTGTAAATTTTGAAAGATACCCCCCTCACCCTTTGGATCCCCAATTTAAAAACTTTTATTAGGTCTTGTGTAAGGATGTAGAGGAACGTCCAGTCGGAGGCAAAATCCGGTCAAAAAACTCGGTATTTGCTCAGTGTTGCTTGGTATTATTTGATAATAACAAGTAATACCGCTATGTGACGATCAATACAGAGTTATACCGAGTTATATCGAGCAATACCGAGCAATACCGAGTTGTACCGAGTTTTTGCTAGGAAAAACTCGGTACAACTTTTGTATAACTCGGTATTGCTCGGTATAACTCGGTATAACTCGGTATTGGGTCTTTAAGTGATGGTATTCCTCGTTATTGTTTGGTATTGCTCGGTATTTGTTCGGTATTTCTCATTTTTTGGCGGGATTTGGCCTCCGACCGGACGTCCGGTCGGAGGACGTAATAATTGTTCCCAATTTAAAGCCTTACTTATATGCGAGACTTCTTCCTACTGCCATAACAAAGAACTCAATTGTATTTACTTCTTGTTTGCTTTGCCAATTGAAGCATGAATCCTAAGCAAAAAATACTCATTTAGATTTTTAAAATTTGTTACTTTTAGCCAGAATAACTTGAACAATGGCCTTTCACAAAAAAATGCTGCATCATTAAGGCATTCAAATGCCCATCAAACGGTCTACGATCAAGGGGTTTAACATCAGCTGTCCATCCAACCACTCCCCATTTACCCTTGATATCTCACATATTTACGAGTAATTATTCCATTAGGTTACCAAATGCATCCGGAAACCAATAACAAAAAGCCACGTCACTAAAGTGCTCGATACCGTGCTCGGTACACTCGGTATGCTCGGTATTGCTCGATATTTTCACCGGATGTAATAATTTTTCCCTATTTATGGGTCATACCACTCCATAAAACTATAAATAGACCCCTCATTTCTCTTGAAAGGGGAGCCCGGAGGCGAGAATAGAAGAAGAGAAGGAAGAAGCTCATCGACCACTGTCTGAGTTTTGTCGGACAACTGTCGGAGTTTCGTCGGACCACTATTGAAGTTTCGTCGGACCACCACTTAAGACCCTCACCTCCATCGGACCACCGCCTAACATCGTTGCACCGTCAGACCACTACTTGAGGCCCTCACGTCGGCCAGACCACCTCATGATGTCGTTACTCCACCGGACCACCACTTGAGGCCCTCACATCCGTCGGACCATCGCCTGACGTCATTGCTCCGCCGGACCACCACTAGACGCCCGGACTTCTATCAGACCACCACCTGAGGCTTCGACTTTCGCCGGACCACTGCTTATGGCATTATACTCCACCAGGCCACCACTAGACGCCCAGGTTCTCCCAGAGTACTGACCTTTTACTACGGCCTTTCGAACTGTCTCATGCCGACTATGGTCCTTCCTACCTCCATCACAAGACAATGGTCTTTCAGACCCCTGTCTCCTGCCAACTATGGTCCTTCCGACCTCCGTCGCCTACTATGGTCATTCCAATTTTCATCACCAGATAATGGTCTTTTTAACCCAGGTCTATTGCCAATTATGATTTTTCGGACCACTGTCTCGTGCTGACTATGGTCCTTCAACCAAACAAATATGTCTATGTTGATTATTGTAAATCTCACCATGTAATATGCTCTATATGATGTACATTTATACCATCAAGCCAAGGCCTTCTCCCAAGGAAGGGCCTCATTTGTAATCGACTGCAAATATTAGTGGATTCATTCAAACTCGGTCAGACCCCGTGATTTTTTTCCCTTTTAAAGGGTTTCCACTTAAAAACTCTTACGTCTCTCATGAACGATACTCTCTCTCTCTCTTATCTGCTTGTGTGCTGGATCTTTGTTCAATGCTAAGATGTTAAACTATATATTTCTCTACCGCTACGAATACTCCAGGACGCAACAAATATAAAGAAACGAGTGACGATAAACATCAAAGTCAATCAATGTGTAACAACAATGATCGACTTCAATCAATATTGATAGAAGACACCAATGTCAAAATGTGTTGAAAGGTGATCAATACGATTATCGTCCCAACTATGGTTAGGACTTGTTAATAGGAAATGAGTATAAGCATGGACATAAGGAATCTTATTTTAAATGATAATCATTGTTATAGAATTCCATAAGTTCATGAATCTTTTTGTCTAAAAGTCCTAATTATAGATGTAGGAATGGGAGAGGGAGCCATGAGCTTGTACAATTTGAAATATATTTGACCTCCTGACCCCCTAGATCCCCAATTTAAAATCTTCAAGAAACTTTTAAATTATGCTTATAGTGGTTGTTGTAAACTTGGAACCGTTTAGATTATCTCATAGAATTGCATTATTTCGGCTATAAATTTGCCTAAAATTAATTTTAGATGATCTCAATTTTGATTTATGATGATTTTAGATAATCCCAAACGAAGCCTTACATGCAAGACTTCTTCCTACTTCCATAACGAAGAACTCATTTGAATTTGCTTCTTGCTCTGTTTTGCCAATTAAAACATGAATCTTAACCAAAAATGCTCATTTAGATTTTTAGGATTTGTTAATTTTAGCTAGAATAACTTGAACAATGGCCTTTCACAAAAAAAATTCTAAACAGCTCAGTTCCTCTTAAGTACATAAATAATTGATGAATATCACTAAGCTACATCAGCAAACTAGTGTATACACAACATAACATAATATAACCACCATCAAATAATTGGAAACAAAAAACAACTCCAATCATCTAAAACATGAGCACAACAAGTAAAATAAACGAAAGCATCACAAACAACAGCTTCGCAGAAGCACAATAACTCGCCGGAGAATCGATCTGAATAATGAAACTGCACTTATCAGTAGACTGATTCTGAGTAGTCACCATGCCAAGCCCTTGGAATCCACAGCTCAATTCATTCTGTCCTTGTGCCTGAAAGTACATATTGAATGCATAAGAAGCATTCCCATTAGTATCCAAACCATTGCAGGAGGATCCATAGCCAAGTGCAGTGCAGTCTGAGAAAGTGCATGCAAAGTTTATGTTATCAGGAAGCTTATCCAAGTTATTTGCTTTAGCATTTAACACACACCACTTCTGTGGCAAGTACTTGACATTCTTTGCTGCCACTAGCAAGTTGCTCGGCGGCTGTTGTCCCGAAAGATCCATGGGGAATTTCGGCTGCCCGTCGTAGTGAAAGATCCCCCAATGCCTCTCAAAATTTCCTGGATCTATGCTCTTTGCATCTTCATCAATAAGACCGAAAAGAAAAACATCTATATCTACATTTGGTCGCAGCGGTGTCCCTTGCTTGCGAGCTAAACGTGGAAGAAGACCATTGTAGAACCTTTCTGCATATCCAACATTGCCATTTATGTCACCATCAGTAGGCCATCCAACCTCTCCAATTATGATTGGTAAATCAGGCACTCCAGCTGCCTTTAAAGCTGAGACGAGGGTATCAAAATTGGCATCAAACACATTGGTGTACTGTATTCCATTGTCAACTATAGGTTTGCTGGTGCCGTCAAAGAAGGCGTAATCGAAGGGGAAGTCCTTATTAGCATACAAGCTCAAGAAAGGATATATATTTACAGTAAATGAAGCATTGTTCTGCTTGAAGAAATGAACCATTTGGTCCATGATGTCACTGATATCAGCTCGAAACCTGCCTGCGGAAGGGACTGGGTTGGATGCTGGGGAGTTGTAGACATCCGCATTGAGGGGAACGGTCGCCTTGATTGTGGGTCCAAAGCCAGCTTCATTAATGGCATTCTGAATGTTTTGGAGTGCAGGGAAAGTGGTATTAATGAATGAACCATTATAGGCGGCAAGGAAAGGCTCGTTGCCAACAGCAACATATCTGCAAGGAGGGAGAGAAATATGATTTTATGGCTAGTAGTTCTAGAGTTTAACAATCGTATTCATAAAAGCAATTAAGAATATAGGGGACCATTTGAAATTTGCTAACTAGCATTATGCTTTTAGCATGTAGACAATTAATAAACTAAATAATGTAGTTTTTATTACATTTAGATATGGCTTGAACTGTGTATATCAGAATACAACACATTTATCAGAAAACACAGATCCAAATGTGCAAAATTTCTTATACAAATTTTAATCAAATATGCATCATTTGATGGTAACAACATATTTTGATAACAATATTACTCATGATTCAACTAAAGAAAATGACAAAAGCTTTTTCAAAGGTAAAAGGCCAACATAATCACAATAGCATAAACTACAAAAAGGCAGCAAGCTTTTAACTAAGGAAAAAAAAAAAAACTCTAACAAGAAGAGGAATCGCGATTAAGAAAGAAAAAAGGCTTACTTGATATTTACTCCTCCTTCAAACATATACCGAGAAACGTTTCTATCAACCCATTGCTTTGCAGAATCATAATCGTTCATAATTGCAAGCATATTGTTTGGAATAGCTATCATGACCTCAATATTACTCCCAGCAAGCGCTTTCATGGTGTTTTCATCCGCATCAAAAAGCTTAACTTTCTTAATTCCATTATCCAACAACATCTGAACAACAATCTTCGGTGGCAAAGGACGAATCGCCATAGTCCCCCAATTAACCCCAATAACACCTTCGGCCATAGAAAAATACAGCCCGATAAGAGAGAGACATATCAAAAATCCGGAGAGCTTCATGGCGTCCAACAAAGAGATCAAATTTAAGGGATAAAAGAGGAGAATAACAGAAGAAAAACACAGGAGATACTTGAAGGCGTTCTCTCTTCGAAAGGAGCAAAGATGGTTAGATTAATTAATATTAGTTTGAATTCAAATCAATAGCTGCAGTTGCCGAAGGAAACGAAAAGACAATAAAATAAGTGAATTTGACGCAGTCCTGGGAATTAAAAAAAGGTAACAGATGAGATGACGGAGAAGAACCCAAAAGAAAATCTAGAATAATCAGCCACACAAACACCAAAAAAAAAAACCCTTTTTGACAAAAATATTGACAAAAGAATAAAACTTTTAGGCTTTTTCTTCCTTCTCCAATGAAGAATGGCCGGCGAAGACAATCTCTGGGTAACTCCCGAACCAACCACTCAAAAATCGCTCTTTTAATTGCAGGGTAAGACAAATGATATCCTTTCCTTCCAATACAAAGGAGAGGAGAACAAGGCAAATGTCTCTAAAAATAGGAAAAATTAACGAAAATGAAATTCTAAACTTGCGAGCGCAGCGAGATCCCAAAACCGAGCGAGCGAGCGAGAAAGGCAGAGAGAGATTCAGAGGAAGATGCAGTAACCGATAAGAAATCAATGTTAACGGCAAACTAATGAATATAGGTGAAGAGAGGAAGGTTATTTTCGTCCATTCAAATATCGGTTATAGGGGAATGAAGTGGCGACGTGTGCGATATCGTGTATTCGTGTTGCTGTACTTACGACGAAACGGTCGAGAAGTGGGCCCGACCCATTTTTACAGAATATATTTATTAATTCACGTGTTTTTAAAGCCCAAAATAGGGTTTTATTTTTTAAAAAAGCGTGTTTTTAATAATTTTATAATTATAGATAACGAAATCGGATGCCGACATAAAATTCGAAAACGCAAATAATATGTATGGGACGAAAAATGGAACAATTATTACGTCCTCTCACCGGATGTAGAGCTACGTCGGCCGTCAATAACATATCGTCACGTGCTCTTACTCTTTACAGCGCGGCCCGACAACTTGACCCGGACCGGAATCCGGGAATGCTATGTTCGCGTATTGCTAGGTATTACTCGGTATTTGCTCGGTATTGCTCGATATTGCTAGGTATTGCATGTCAATAACGAGAAATACCTCTATGAAGATCAATACCGAGCAAATATCAAGTAATACCGAGTTGTACCGAGTTGTACAAAAACTCGGTACAACTCGGCACAACTCGGTATTTGCTAGATATTCCATGACAATAACGAGAAATACCTTTCTGTGAAGACTAATACCGAGCAAATACCGAGTTGTACCGAGTTGTACAAAAACTCGGTACAACTCGGTATTACTCGGTATTTGCTCGGTATTGGTTATTGCCAAGCAAAATCGATCAATACCTAGCAATACCGAATAATACCGAGCAATACCTAGCAAAATCGAGAAATACGAAGCCATCCTGGGTCCGTTCTGGATCAGGTTGTCGGGGCGTGCGGTAAATAGTGAGAACGCGTGGCGCGATTCTACTGGCGGCCGAACGTAGAGGGTTTTTTTTTTTTTTTGGTGGTTAGGGAAAAATAATAAGCTTCCTTCTCTCAAATACTCAAAATACCCCTAATAAAACTAAAATTGCCTGTGATGCTGCAGGCTAAGAATTAATTAAAATTCATTAAAAATTAAAGATTCTATCATATTTTAAATTCCCTCTACAAATAGTTCAAGTTAAAAAATAAAAAAGAAAATTAACACTATTATATATTTTTTATTTTAGACTTCTAATACTGACCAAATATGATAATTTAAGCATAAATTCCTATATATTTTTCAAATCTAAGGGGTGAGAACTTCCCTTTGCTTCCTAATTTTAAGAACATATTGTGAATAAATTTGTAGGGAAAGAACTTGCCAATATATACTTTATTAGTGTTGCTTATTTTCTTGATGTTAATGTTCGAACAAATGAACACGAAAGGTTGATTTTAACAAAAGAAGTAACACAGCTCATCTTGGCCTGTTGGCTGAGAGCTTAGGCTTCCAACCAAGAGGTCTAGGGTTCGAGTCTTTGTGTATGCGTTGTGTGTGTGAGCTTGCCTTAAATGACCTAAATGTTCCAAAAAAAAAAAAAAAAGAAGGTAGTTTTCCAAAAAAAAAAAAAAAAGTAGGTTTGTCAATATATAAATGATCCGACATACCAACATGATCAGAATTAGATCAAAAAAATTCAGGTTCGAATTAACCTATTTAATAACGGGTCACATTTAAATCTTATATTCCAACCTTTTTTTATTAAATGAGTTGCGTTCAAGTTGACCAGCAACTCGATTTTGACCCAAAAAAGAAGCGTTTAACCCTTTTTCCTTAAATTCTTTATTTATTAGTATAATCTTCGCATTTTTTATCAACTAACATAAAATCTAGGGTATGTTAAAACTTAAAACCAATGCTTTTAAAGCCGAACCAGACCACTTGTTACGGTTTACGTTAGAACCGGTTTCGCAAAAAAATGGGTATCGAATCGCTCAAACTGGCGGTCGATTGCTGAACCGATCCCGATTTTCAATAACCAGCCGGTTCAGCTACGATGCCCTATTTCATTTGTTTCATTCGAACGATTCGCGTTCTTCCTCTTTGGTGTGCCTTCTTCCCCTCTTCCGCAATCTGGAAAAATCTTGGTTCGGGTCAACTCGGTTAGCAAACGGGTCAGGTTCAGATTTTTGACCCGTTTTCAAAAAGGGGTCGGGTTCGAGTTGACCTGGAAACCCGAAATCAACCCGAAGTTGACCCAGGGTCTAGGTCTATTATCCCAACCTTGCCGCCCTAGCCTTCTTCCTACTTCCGCAATCCAGGCTCAGCTCGTCAGCCGCTCAAATCGACAATTTGGGCTACCACAATTGGCAATACATCCATCCAGGCTCCCGCTTGGTCGCTTCCGAAATCTGTGCTCAGTCAATAAACTTCCCGCTTCCGCACGCTCCCGTCCCAAGTCCCAAGGGACCGTGTCCTAAGACTCCGCGGACCACGCCCATGCAGCACGAGGGCACGCCCGCAACGCCCAAGTCCCACGCCCACATATGTGACCTAGCTGCATGGCCCGCCTTGGCCTTGCTTCAGTCCCTCAGTCACCGATTCGTCACCTGCTCAGTTCGCATTCCCAATTTTCGGGTCGAGTCGTGTCAACTCGGCAATCTGGCAGGTCGAGTCTGGGTTAAATTTTATGACCCGTTTGCAAAAAACGGGTTGGGTTCGTGTTGACCCGAATAGTGCCGGGTCAATTCCAAGTTCAATCCGAACTCGACATTTGACTCCAAAATTGACACCCATTCATAAGTTCCTTTACATTAGTATTATAAACACCTTGATTTTTTTTATTTTTATTTTTTTGGTTTAAGTGTTTTCTTATGCCACTGTTAAATAATGCACTCTTTAATTCCTCAATTGTTTGAAGGGAGTACGCAGCTTTAGATCATTATCAAAATTAATATATTATTATATTTTTCTTATTTACTTTATATAATGTTATGTTTTTTATGCTTCATATGATTCATATTATAATTATGTTCAATTTTTGTTATACATTTACAAATAGATGTGTCATTATTATAATATTTAAATAAAATAAGTATTTATTACGTCTTCCGGTTCGACCCCGGTCAAACCATCGAACCTCTAACCTCTCTTTCTTTTGGTTCATTGTCCGATCCGATTTTCAAAGCCTTGGTTAAAACAAGTTATCAGGTAGATTTCGTTAGTCTGGTGGGTCAAGTTTGGTCCTTTTTGGCACGTTTATTAGACAAATGAAGCTCGGGTTGATTGGATTTAGATCAGATCAATTTCAAGTCAAATTCGAATCAGACCCGATGATCCGTTTTAACAAAACAAAAATAAGGACATAAGCTATATAAGAAATTTCTTAAAATTTATGTAAGAAGTTACTTAAATCCAATCTTTTAAGAAAAGAAAACCAGTATCTAAAATTTTGGTTAGTTAAAACAATCATATACACCACAATATAGTGTTTCATGAGCAAAAAATTTATGATATAAACAAGAATTTTTTCTCTCAAGGCAAGATCAGCAGGAATATCAACAAAATTTATTTCTACAAAACTTTGTTTGATTTGTGTAATGATTTCTTTACAAAATATTTTCTCATCATCTCCTTCAATTTTTTTTTTGAAATATGTATCCATGCTAAATTAAACAAAAATAATTTTAAAAATTTGAACATAATAAATGATAATTTGAACATATAATTTCTTATGCAACATGTTTTTAGGCTTCTAAAGCTTATTCTGTTTAAAGTTTTTGAACAACATACCTCTAAAGCTTCAACAGAACATATATGATGCAGTCGAAGCTTGAACACTGGTGCGAGTTAAATCATAGACATCACGAGTTAAATCAACCGAATTAAATCATAAACAATGCTTGAATACCACAATACCAGGCTAAGGCTAAGGCCGTGAGGCTTAATATATAGCAGAGAATCAGAGATTATATATTCCAACATGATCAGAATTAGGCCAAAAAAATTAAGGTTCGAATTAACCTATTTAATAAACGGGTCAGATATAAATCATATATTTCAATCCTTTAATTAAATGAGTTGCGTTCAAGTTGACCAACTACTCGATTTTGACCCAAAAAAGAAACGTTTAACCCTTTTTCCTTAAATTCTTTATTTATTAGTATAATCTTCGCATTTTTTATCAACTAATATAAAATAACTAATATAAAATATAGGGTGTGTAAAAACCAATGTTTTTAAAGTCGAGCTGGACTGGCTGGTTACAGTTTATGTTAGAACCAGTTTCGCAAAAAAAAGGGCATCGAACCGCTCAAATTGGCGGTCGACTGCTGAACAGATCGATTTTCAATGACCGGACGGTTCAGCTACGGTGCCCTATTTCATTTGTTTCATTCTAACGATTCGCGTTCTTCCACTTTGGTGTGCCTTCTTCCCCTCTTCCGCAATCCGGAAAAATCTTGGTTCGGGTTTACCCGGTTAGCAAACGGTTCGGGTTCATATTTTTGACCCGTTTTCAAAAAAGGGTCGGGTTCGAGTTGTCCCGGAAACCCGAAATCAACCTGAAGTTGACCAGGGTCTGGGTCCGTTAGCCCAACCTAGCCTCCCTAGCCTTCTTCATGCTTCTGCAATCCGGGCTCAGCTCGTCAACGCTCAAATCAGCAATCTGAGCTACCACAATTTATGGGCTTAGCCGACCATCTTCCTGCTTCCACACGCTCTCGTCCCAAGTCCCAAGGGACCGTGTCCCAAGACTCCGCAGACCACGCACATGCAGCACGAGGGAACGCCCGCAGCGCTCGTCCCACGCCCACATACGCGACCTAGCTGCATGGTCCGCCTTGGCCTTGCTTCAGGCCTTCATTCGCCGACTCGCCGTCTGCTCAATTTCACATTCCCAGTTTTCGGGTCGGGTCGTGTCAACCCGGCAATCCGGCCGGTCAAGTCCGGTTTGTATTTTATGACCCGTTTGCAAAATGGGTTGGGTTCGTGCTGGCTTGGATAGTGCCGGGTCAATTCCGAATTCGACCCGAACCTGTCTCGTGACTCGAAAACGACACCCACAAGTTTCCTTACATTAATATTATAACCACCTTGGTTTATTTTTTTTTAAAGTGTTTTCTTATGCCACTTTTAATAATGCACTCTTTAATTTCTCAACTGTTTGAAAGAAGTACGCAGCTTTAGATCATTATTAAAATTAATATATTGTTATATTTTTCTTCTTTACTTTATATAATGTTATGTTTTTTATGCTTCATAGGATTCATATTATAATTATGTTCAATTTTTGTTATACATTTACAAATAGATGTGTCATTATTATAATATTTAAATATAATAAATATTTATTACATCATCCAGCTCGACCCCAGTCAAACCATCGAACCGCTAACCTCTCCTTATTCCGATTCATTGTCTGGTCCGGATTTCAAAGCCTTGGTTAAAGCAAGTTATCAAGTAGGTTTTGTTAGTCTGGTGGGTCAAGTTTGGTCCTTTTTGGCACGTTTATTAGACAAATGAAGTTGGGGTTGATCTGATGTGGATCGGATCAATTTCAAGTCAAATTTGAATCCGACCCAATGATCTGTTTTAACAAAACAAAAATAAGGACATAAACTATGTATGAAATTTCTTAAAAATTCTATAAAAAGTTACCAACCATTTAAGAAAAGAAAATCAGTATCTCAATTTTTGGTTAGTTAAATCAATCATATCATACACCACAATATAATGATTCATGAGCAAAAATTATATAAAATAAGCAGCTTAAAAATATCAGCTAATCCTGATTTAAACACTGAAGAATTTCTTCAATGTTTTTGTTTAGTCAAAACAGCTATACATTTAACAAAACACCAAGCTTTAAAATCTCCAAACTCTCAAGAACCCTAAGGCAAATAAAACAGCAGTAAATAGCCAACAAACCAACCCCCAAAGCCCTACTCAGCTTCATCCCCTTCATCGGCAGCATCACCAAAGCCCACAATAATCCCCCAATAATAAACCCAATCAGAACAAATTCAGAATAATCCTCACTCGCAATCACAAATGGAGAAGGATAAGCTTTCACTGAAGAAACAACAAATGATAATCCCAATCCAACCAATGTGTTAAAAATTGGACCTGCGTAGCATCCTGCAACTGCAATCTGAGCTCCATCTTCTCCTCCATTAACAGCCATGGCTACATTGGCCACAAGATCTCCCAGTGAATTGCCCCATGCCAGTACAGTAACTCCTAGAACTGAAGGTCTGACACCAAGTATTTCTCCTATGGAAAACAGAAGGGAAACGAGCTCCCCTGCTATCATGTATGTCCAGACAACACTCATCAGGAAGCCGGATAAAAGCCATGGAAGCTGAAGTTTTTTGGGTGGTTGGGAATTTTCTGTGCACTCCATTGCTGTGATTCCGAGAAGCAAGCTGAGTAAAGCAGCGAAGAGGAAGATTGCGGTGCTCTGCTCTGAATTCATGTCCTTTGTCCGGGAGTTCCATAACGTTGCAAGAAGAATTGGTGAGAGAGTTACGGAAGATACAGCAAATGGTTTTGACCATCTTTCTTCTGTTATTAATGGGATTGTTAGTCTTCTTGGAAGATAGAGAGGTAGTTCTATGAGATAAAGGAACCAGCTTTGATGTGATTCAGAGGACTCTGGTTTGAAAATGCTGAGATTTGAGTCAATTTCTTTCCCAGATTGCTGCTGCTGCTGCTGCTGCTGCACATTTATGGATTCTAGTAAGGGCAAGCTGAGTTCTCCAAGCTCTTTACTGCAACAATGGCTCATTGATACGAGAATAATATAGATAATGTAGAGAAAAACGAATAACATTGCTTCCAAGATGCGAATTTGTCCAATAATTAGAATCAGGGCGAGGAAGCAAAGGGTCACGAGCAGGAAGCAGAGGTCTCTGAAAAAACTCAGGCGGTCGATGGAAATTGCAGGGCGGGAAGAGCGGCAGACGGAGATGCTGATTATTGAGAGGACGGCGGAGGAGACGAAAAATGCGCCTCCGAGAACGCTGTTAAGGCCAACCTCGACGCCGCCTGTGCCGCCTCCAGAGGCAAAAGAGACTATACTAGAAAAAACATCCGGCGCACCGTTGCCGAGGGAGAGCAAGGTGACGCCGGCGATGGTAGGGGAAAGGTTTAGAGCACCGGAGAGGCTTTCAAGCGAGGAGCACAAGTAGTGAGAAGCAGTGTTTCCGAGTAAGTAGAAGAGAACTAGAAGCCATAGAGCGAGTAGGACGTAGCCTATAACAGGGTAATTGTTGAATACGCAGTCGAAGAGTTGGAGATAGTTGATGTAGCCGCGAGGCTCGGATGCATCTACGCTTCTGAGATTATTGCGTGACACTGTCGCTTCGCAACCGTTAATATGGGAGGAATGTGTTGAAGAGAGGAAGAAGAAGAAGAGGGCTAACGTGAAGAGGAAGGAGATATTGACGACGACATGAATGGATTTGTAGAGAGAAGTGAATGCCATTCAAGGGAGGGGATTGCTGTTGCAGATGATCTAAAGCTGGGATTTTGGGACTTCGGCTTTAAAGAAGGATGGATGAGGAGGCGTGTGATCGAAGAAATGCGACGCCTTGGGGCTACCACGGCGGCGCGTGTAAGGACCAAGGTTCTATTCCTTTTGTGCTGGGCGGCGAAGGAGGAAGAGGACGGGGACCGGAAGAATAGATTCGAGAGAGAAACAGCACAGTAGGAATTGGGGAGGGCTCGCTGGATTGGAAGCTTGCGGGGGAGGAAGATCAACGACAAGGACAAGTGTCGGATTTCTTATTTCTGAGTGAACGTGGAACTGCTTCACTGGTTTAATTTCGCACAAAAGTTTAAAAGAAAATATTAAAAAAATAAAAACAAGTACGATGTGAATTTAGGGAATAGTTTGTAAATTTTGGTAACTTCTAATCTACTTAAAAAATGAGTTGAAACATTCTAATTAATTTTTTTTTCTAAATAAAATATTAAA